TCACTATTATGCCTCAGTATGTCTGACAGCATCTTAAAAAGCAGAGACATCACCTTGCCAACAAAAGTCCGAATAGTCAAAGCTATGGTTTTTCCTGTCGTGATGTATGGAAGTGAGAGCTGGACCATAAAGAAAGCAGACCGCCGGAGAATTGATGCCTTTGAATTGTGGTGCTGGAGGAGGCTCTTGAGAATCACCTGGCCTGCAAGGAGAACAAACCTATCAGTTCTAATGGAAATCAACCCTGAATGCTCACTTGAAGGACAGATCCTGAAGCTGAGGCTCCAGTACTTTGGCCATCTCATGAGAAGAAAAGAGTCCTTGGAAAAAACCTTGATGTTAGGAAGGTGTGATGGCAAGAGGAGAAGGGGACGACCGAGGATGAGATGGCTGGACAGTGTCTGTGAAGCAACCAACATGAACCTGACCCAACTCCAGGAGGCGGTGGAAGACAGGAAGGCCTGGCCTGCTCTGGTCCATGGGGTCACGAAGAGTCGGACACAACTTAATGACTAAACAAGTCCAGCTGCCACCCCAACAACTGGAAGTGACTGAGAACCCATAATTCACTTATTGAACTATGTGAAGAACGTACTTTGTCCTGACATTTGTGGTACTACCAACAATATCGCCAGTTACCTGGACTCTAGAGAGATAGCACATTTTATTCATTTTTTCTACACCACAAATAACTGCCTATCCCTGATTTTTCTTTAAATCTTAGGTAACGTAGTGGCTTAAGTCCATCTCTGTTATAAACTCCGCTTCTTCAATTTCTCTCTCTCTCTCACACACACACACACACACACACACGCACACGCACGTACTGTACATAAATTAAGGCTTCAGTACTCCTGGCAAAAGAACCTTGTCTCCAGAAAAATTAAGGATTACAAAAAAAAAAAATCATGGCCACGTTTTAGGATGCCATGACAACAAGAATTATCTTTTTCTTACTGAGTGTGAAGCACAGATCTTTGTAAGATAACCTGTAAAGCAGGGGTCGTCAACCCCTCCGCGGCCCGGTGCCAGTCTGCGGGCTTTCCAGAACTGGGCCATGAATACAGATCTCCGTCCCCCCCCCCGCATACATGCACAGTGGGCGTTGCGCCTGTGGTGGCGACATGCCCCCCCCATGAGCACGACATGCCCACTGCACTCACACAGGGTGCCCCCACCCACCCCTGCACATGGAGCTTGCTCCCCACAGCCAGTCCGCAGCTCCAAAACGGTTGGGGACCGCAGCTGCTGTAAAGCACCGGTTTTCCTCAGCTCTCTACCTACCAGTGCTGAACAGTTTTAAGTTAGCATCAGAGATCTCTCTGTGTAGCCATTTTGGAAAATTCAAACAGATAAAATGACACGTGGAGGACAAACACCAATAGGCCCAGCGCTGCTGCATTATTTTGAAAAAGAATGTAAAGAGAATAAAACTGTACACTCTTGAATTTTTATTCCACCAAAAGGAAACACCACATAAGTTCATGGTACTTCAGCCAATTTAAAAGCTTAAAAGCTTAGAAATTATAGATCGGCTTTTTGGGCACTCTAAACTGGGAGAATAATGTGTCATAAGCAGTTTTGTTTGAAAACTTTTCTGATTTCTTGGAGCATCACAGAAACAGGTGACCAATCTCAAACCAAACAGACTGAATTGGCTCAAAAAATATCACCATATGCAATGTCACTAGTATGCCGTTTGTAATCCTGAAGATGACAGGATGTGTTTTCCTTGCTGAAAGCTCAGTCTTTTATTGTTTCATTAAAGCTTTTGCAAACCAAACAGACTGAATTGGCTCAAAAAATATCACCATATGCAATGTCACTAGTATGCCGTTTGTAATCCTGAAGATGACAGGATGCGTTTTCCTTGCTGAAAGCTCGGTCTTTTATTGTTTCATTAAAGCTTTTGCTTGGGAGCTAAACCTGTGAAGGTTTTTTGTTTTTTTTTCCAAATAAATAAAAATATATTCATTAAAATAAACATGAATGTTTCTGCTCATCTCAAAAGAGGTATATGCAGGACCTCTACTAGACAGTTCATGCCCACCCACCCGGAAGCGACAGCAGCATATACAGTTAGTTGATTTCACAGCAAAATTTGTGTGCTAGACTTGTGGGGTTTTTTTTCCAGTTCCCCCAGCTTGCCAGTTCCCCCACCTTCACAGTATCTCAGACACAGCTTGCTGCAGAAAAAAAACCTGAGTCTTGTTTCCTAGACTACATCGAAGGACGTGGGAAATTGTGAAAGACAGCATATGGCCAAGCCGGGTTGTCTTTACGGAGCCATGAAATTCTGCTCTTTGGCTGCAACAGACTAACACAGCAACCTCTGGAAATTTCCGATGGCTATGGACCAGTTATATATTTAGTTTTCTGACTGGCAAGAAGCATGATGGAGGCCAGCCTTCTCTTTAATCCTACTGAAGAAAGGCCCATTGAATTCAGTGGGACTGACTTCCCCATAAATATGTTTAAGAGACAGATGGGTAAAGAGACCCCGTCCAGAATACTTCCAACTGGCAACTCCTAGAATTCCTCTTCTGCATGTAAAATACGGGACGCTTTCAGCTGCTTCAATTTTGTGATGGCGGAAGAGACCGAAACTTCTCCGTGAACCTTGTTGTCCCTCGTTCGGACATTCACAGCATTATTGGCTTTCTCCTTTTCTCCAACCACTGCAAGAGAACAACATGGAATGCCTTAGTTAGGAAATAAGCCTGGCACCTTCCACAGCCAGTGTTCCAAGCATGTTTAATGTAGAAAGGACTTTCACAGTGGGACACATAGAATAAGCGCAAGACCTAAGAAAATGCACTGGTGTTCTTGTTCATAATGTGCTAATTCTTTATTCACTCACGTGATTCTCCCACTCGTGTACTGAGCCTTTTCACAAAGATTTTTTTTTTTTACAGAACAGTTTCTTGTAACACTGAGCAGCTGGAATGTTTTAAGAGTATTCCATCATAGCTCCATAGCTTGGTAAATGATATGGAAGGTCACCCATTAAAATACAGAATGCGAAACTCTCAAAGCCAATAGCTACACTCATTCTCAAGATGACTGTATGCTCAGGCAGTATTTAGGGGACATATTGGAAAATTATTTTCCCACATATCTACATGTTTCCATGCTTTAATTAATCACCAGATGAGCACTTAAAAGGACTGTCTAAAGGTGTGGCTTATTTCCCAGCATATATAGAAGCTAAGTACGTGTCCCAGCCAACAGCTCCTGTATCCATAAAGAATCACTGGCTAATCTAACTCTTGGCCTACACATCATTCCTTCCATCTATGTTGTGAAATCAGCCTCATTCTACTGAGTAATGACTGTTATCATTCCTATTAACGTTATTAATCAACATCATTTATATTGCCCCATTGTTTCTGGTGAAAAACAGGGGTATCCTACTCCCCAATTTATCTGTACTGCAACTTTGTAAGCCAAGTCAGACGGAGAGCAACCATCCACAGTTGCACAGTGAGTTTCATGGACACAAGGGAATTAGAATCTGGATGTCTCAATTCCCAATCCAACACACTAAGCATTGTGATGCACTTATTCTAAGCTATCCTATGTTACTCTAAGTAGACTTTGCTCCATTATGATGTACTGTTTTCCAGACATTAAAAGTAGCATTTGCTTCCAACACACCTTTTCTAGAGTTTGTTTCCTATCAAGAGAGAGGGAGAGAGAGGAAGGGAGAGAGAGAAAGCATGATAGAATTCTTGATTTTATTAAGCCTCTTGCATTTTTCTTTCTTTCTTTCTTTCTTTTGGCTGAAAAAGGTGAGATATAAATAAGAAGTATAACAAGAAGTCACAGATACCCAAAATAAAATTATACTGAGCCAGCTGAGCATTTCTTATCTTCTTGTTCAAAGTGCAGCTCTGATCTAAATCCACGTCGGCCATGAAGCCAGCATCAAAAAATTCACAGCAGACCTAGAAGAAAGAAATCAAACAGCATCCGGTGGATTGATACTGCACCATCTTGCGTTTCGCCTCCTGTGTTTTACATACTTGTGTTTTTTATATTGTTCTTATTATGAGTTTTAATACTTTTAATGCTTTTTTTAAATATTGTAATCATTGATTATTTGGCTTTTAACTTTGTTTCTTTTAGTACTGTAAGCCGCCTCAGATCCTTTGGGAGAAATGCGGCATATAAATATTTTAAGTAAATAAATAAATACTGTATTTTCCTATAAAATATTCAGTTACTTAAAAATAAACACCAATCATTTCCATGCTTGAATAATATAGAAAACAATATCCAAAACATGCACTTGAAATTAAAGCCCTTCACTCTTCTTTTCTCAGCTCTTACCTGTTGAGCGTATTCTTCATGGGTAGGGCCAACAGGAACCACCATGACCTGCCGAGGAGACAGCCAAAAAGGCCTGCCCAAAATATGAATTACAAGAGTTCTTTCACTATCGTGTAGTTTTCCTTCACAGCAGAGTTTAGCATGGTCAAGCTGAAGGCATTTGGCTCAAGAAAAGTTCAACTTCAGTGATGTCCGTGGGACTGCTTTAAAGCCCAAGAGCCATCAGAGTTAGGCCACACTCAAACGGAGGGACACGGGGACTGTTATCCCATCCATACCAAATGACCTAGAAAAACCGACTAAACCACAACACTTTTAATGCTGTTTGCAGTTTTCCTCACTTCAATTACTTATTCGATCTGGATAATGCCTTTGTCTTAAAAGTGGGACTCAAGGCGACTCATGGGATTAAAAGCAAGCACAGGTAAGAGACCCGGAAGGGAGTCATGTTAAAACACAACAGAGCAAAAAAAATATTGTACAATGACATTAAGGACAATTCCAAAACACCCTTCCTCTATCATTCCAGTTCGTAACATATGACCTAGAACAAAAACAGGCTAAAGCGCAAGGCTAAATGCAATACGCTAAAACGCAACGCAGTCCACCATCGGCCCAAAATCTGCCCGAATCAAACGGCGGAAAAGGTTGGCCTTCCCTTCCCCGGAGTCGCACAGCCTGTCAGCAACTGCTGGAAAGTACGAGACACTCACAGCGGTACAACGGCTGGCCTCTCTGGATGAATAGTCACACCGTAATTTGTTTGTTCAATACCTTAGCAACAGAAAAGAAACCACACATTTCTGTGGAACGTGTGTATGAGTGCTGTGGGATGATGCTGACCAGGGATGGTGGTGGATAAGAAGTTTCTTAACTCCGTCCAGGCGGTGAGCTGGGCCAGTCAGGATTCATCGGCAGGTGGTGCCTTCCAAGTGAACACACCGCAGCTGCCTCTAGGGTGACAACAGCCCTTCCTGTACTGAAGAGCTGGGCCAATGGCCACTCTTAAGAATCTCAAAGAGCTCACATTTAAATCTCAATCACTCGACCCTTGTTCAGGATCACAGAGGGCCTTCGCAACAGCTCCCAATTACTCCTGCACCTCTGCTACGCACCATTTCCCGCCGTAGTTTTCTGCCAGAATGGCAATCATTCGCTCCACTGAACCCAAAATCGCTCTGTGGATGATCACTGGCCTTTTCTTGTCGTCTTGGTCTTTCCTGTGAAGGCAAAGAAGCCAGAAAAGGTGGAACAATTCACACAAGCCATATCGCTGCTCTCTTGTGTTTGACCTGGGTATTCTGCCCAAATCCGTTAACCTAAGGTGAATGCCAATGCGTTAAAAGGAGCTGATCCTCCTGGCCACAACTAAACCTTTACATTGAATTGACCTCACTCTGTATTTCTACAAGTCTGATGGATCCACTAAGTTTTGCTGATCCCTACCCCCTTCTTGACCAACAGGATGTAAAAGGATTCAAAATAAAGACCCTTGGCTTTGCTCACTGTATCTTTATTTACAATATTTACCATCAGCTGCTCAGCAGCATGCTTCTTCGGTTAGCTCAAGGGATCGTTTTAGGGTGCTTGCATTACCTTCCCACCGTGGTGGTACCTATACTTTGCTCACTGTATCTTTATTTACAGTATTTACCATCAGCTGCTCAGCAGCATTCTTCTTCGGTTAGCTCAAGGGATTGTTTTAGGGTGCTCATAGTTCTTGATGTGCATTACCTTCCCACCATGGTGGTCCCTATTTATCTACTCGCATTTTTACATGCTTTCGAACTGCTAGCTTGGCAGGAGCTGGGACAAGCGACAGGAGCTCACTCCATCGTGGGGATTCGATCTTACGATGGCTGGTCTTCTGACCTTGCAGCATAGAGGCTTCTGCGGTTTAACCCGCAGCGCCACCACGTCCCTGGCCATTTTCCCAGCAAGACCTGAACCTGGATCTTACCAAGGGATATTTCTATCACTCAGCCAGCACACCATCTGAAAACACAAAACATCAGAAGGCTCCTCCCTGCGGTAGCACAGAATGGCCACTGAGTGTGGTCATCACACTTACTCAGTTTCTTCAGAACCATTTAGAGCTTCTTCCTACATTCTGCCCTCCTATTCTTTCTTGCTAATTTTGGGACCTCCATATTCAGTAAAGTCCAACTTACCCTACATAAGTAAGATTAAATCTGATAGGCAGCTGGAAGTCCAGCTGGATGGTGGCACACTGGTGGTAGCGGCCGATAGCATCTCTGATTTTAATATCTATCTGCAAGAACAAGCACAATTGAAACAAAGTGTTTAGCATTTGTCCTCTCTACTATAAAGTTTTGCTAAGAATGGAATGGCAAATTTTACTAACCTTGGGACCATAAAATGCTCCATCTCCTGGATTTAGTTTCCAGGGCTCCCTGAAGTCATCCAGGCTGTTTTGTAGTTGCTAAAAGCAAATTAGAAGGGGGGAAAAGGAGTTTAAGCCCCTGTAATATGACCAAGGCTATGATCAATGCTACTCCTCTAGGAATAGAAATTTAAATACAGTGGTGCCTCGTTAGACAGTTACCCCGCATGACAGTTGTTTCGCTAGACATTGGCTTTTTGCGATCGCTATAGCGATTCGCAAAACAGTGATTCCTATGGGGGAATTTCGCTGGACAATGTTTGGTCCCTGCTTCGCAAACCAATTTTCTCTAGGCAACGATTTTGACAGCTCCCTCCCCGTGCTCGCAAAACAGGTGTTTTCGGGATCTAAGCTTCGCAAGACAGCTATTTAAACAGCTGATCGGTGGTTTGCAAAGCGGCTTTCCTATGGCCAATCTTCGCTAGACAATGACGATTCTCCCCCATTGGAACACATTAAACAGGTTTCAATGCATTCCAATGGGGAAATGCTTTTCGCGAGACTTTTTTTCGCTAAACAGCGATTTCAGTGGAATGGATTATCATTGTCTAGTGAGGCACCACTGTATTGTCTTTTAGCTGTTGTAAGCTGCCTTGGGTTCTTTTAAGGAGAAAGGTGGGATAAAAATATTTTACCTAACCAAAAAATAAAAAGAAATACCTTCTCTGCCTGGTCCCACATTTCCTTTTCTCCTAGAAAGTTTACGGGTCTTGTGGAAAGATGAAGTTGAAAGGTGAAACCATAGACAGAATATATGGATTGCAAGAAATTTAAGCAGCCTTTAATTTCGTCTTCAATCTGAAACATAAAACATTGATACATTTACGGTGGAAATTTCAAAATGAAAGAAAACAATTCATAAAAGCTATAATCTCATTATGACCTTTCTTCACTGGAAAAACCAAAGTATCCATCTGTCACAAGGATCATGGCTACGGATTCCTACCTGCTCCATTGTGCAAAATATGTGGGCATCGTCCTGCTGAAAGCGCCTGACACGAGTCAAGCCACTCAGCGTTCCCGAAAGTTCATTTCGGTGAAGAACTCCAAAGTCAGCAAGTCTTAAAGGCATCTCCCTCCAGGACCGGGGACGATGGGCAAACATCAAACTAAGAGAAAGACATTAAATGATTTATGAGGGCAAGGAAAGTACATTCAGTCCTATTGACAGTTGCATCCCATTTCTGTCTTGCCCTTCCTCCTTCTAGTGGGAAGGAAATTATTCAGAATTACTGGGAAGAATAATACAGAGCATTACAAAGTAGCAAGTCTTACCAGTGCCCAGGGCAGTTCATCGGCTTAAGGGCAAATATTTCTTTCTCAGCCTCAAAAGAGAACATGTTTTCGCTATAGTGCTCCCAGTGACCAGATGCTTCCCACAGTTTTACATTGTAAATATTAGGAGACACCACTTCTGTGAAATTACGGCGATGATATTCCTCCTGCAGAAAGAAACCCAACTCTTTAGCCACGTGCACACACAGGTCGCCCAAAACAAAATGATTACCTCCGCTCTCCCAACACCAGCCGTCTTTCACAGACTTGTGCATGCAACCCTTGGCTTCTATTGCAAAATATAGCAGTGCTGGATCAGACCAAGGACTGCCGAAGCATACCCAGAACGTGTTTAGCTGATGCTTGTAAAATGGGTGGATTCCTTGGCTCTTCCTCGCCGCCACCCCTGCTATAATCATAGTAAGCCCACGGAATAAGTTAGGTCAAGAGATGGTGACTGGTTCAGGGTGACCAGTATGCTCCAAGGCCCTTCAGCTACCACCCCTGCTATAATCATAGTAACCCCCAGAATAAGTTAGGCCAAGAGATGGTGACTGGTTTAGGGTGACCAGTATGCTCCAAGGCCCTTCAAGGTGATGGGAGAAGAACACGAATCTGAACCAGTAGATGGACTGCAATGCCTAAATTCAAAACCCTAACTAATACACAGCATTCGGTATTCTGAGATACATGTGGCTCTGCCATGGAATGCTGCCGTGTGTATAAGGTTCAAGCAATCATTCACGCTCTTTACTTGAGCAGTCCCTTCCATTCCACTCCTTTCTCCACATTATGCCAATACTGTGCAAACACTGATCATGATTAGTTATTCTGGAGTTCTTTTGAGTCTTTCCCTCACCGTTTTTCTCCTGTAGTTTTGCAAAATGTGCTATTTCCCCCAAGGCAATAGATACCTCTCCCCCGCCCACCCCCTGTGTTCCAATGATGTCCTTTGGCTACAAAAGGACATGCATTCAGAAAATGCCTCTTGTCCTTCTTTAGTCTAACTCTTCCCAAAGAAAGAGTTTCAGCTAGCACATCAAATTCACAACCAGGATGTTTCTGCAGAGCCTTAAAACGGTTAATGTATAAACGATTTACTTACTTTGATAAAATCTATGAGTGTGTTATAAATAAAAGCACCTCTGGGGAGAAAGAAGCAACTTCCAGGACTCAGATCGTGGAAGAAGAAGAGTTCTTGTTCCTGAATCCACGCGAAGAAGCACAAGAAATTAAAAAGAGAAAATGAACATGGATGCCATTTGGGGAATATCTTTCTAGAGTGAAATCAAAACAGGATGGAGCCAAGATTGCCACTCACTGCTTTAGAGTTTAATTATACACTTCCAGAAAGGCAAACTTGTTAGCCTGAGACCATAAAGACAACAATGACTCTTGTAGCACCTTCAGGACTAATGGATCTATTACAGCGTAAGCTCACTAAGTGTTCACTTGATTAGATGCACCAAGCCAGGAACTTGTGAAAACCCCTCCAAAACGGTACTAATGCTGCCCTCATTTCTGCACTAGGTGAAAAATTGGGTCTCCATCCTAGCTTTTAAGGGGCCCAGATACGATGGCTTTGCTCTGATCGAACAGATTTTCAATTCCAGAGCACTGCCCTGTCCTGCTGAATGTTTTTACTGTCTTACCCCAACTTCCAACAGCTCGATATAGGATGGGATATAAATACTTGGATGAATTAATGGATAAATAAACGCATCGATATGCAAACAAACCTCTGCATGTATGGGCAGACACTCAACACCAAAGCACGAAGAATAACAAGCCATCTCGCCAAAATACAAATAAGAAGCAAGACGGAAAATACAATACCTCAATGCAAAACTCAGCTGTATGCAAAATGAGCCCAGCGACTATTCACAACGGCAACATCTGTCACTAGGCACTCCCACTTTCCTTACCTTGTGCATATCTGAGCTTTCAAGGCAACATTCCATACATCTGTATTTTGGTCTACAAAAGCATATGCTGCAGCCAATCTTTTAGAAACTGCGAGAGACAGAGCTTCGCGTTTACATTCCCACAATGTCGTTCAAATCTCAAATTAAAACATACATAACATATACCTTGCCAATTTTTCTGTGGTCCCGGTTTCTGGCTTCCTCCTGGAACTTCTCCCACTCTTTCATCATTTTGTTTTCTGGGAAAGATATTCCATAAATTCTCTGGAGTGTTTCCATGTCGGCCTTTCCCTCCCAGTACGTGGAAGAATTCTGTTGTAGAAAACATCATACACGCTGTGATTTTGCCGCCTGTCATCTACCTCCTTTTTCTTTACTTTATCCAAAGAAGTAGTCATCACAGCGAGTGTTTGGGAAAAATTTTATTCTATCTTTTAATTATGCAAATTATCGGGGTGGGGGTGGAGTCACATGCATGGGGGGGGGCAGAGTCGTGATGGGATGCAGAGCCCCACCCTGCGGGGCTGAAAATTAGAGGGAACCTCTTATCTGGGGGTGGAGTCACACGCATGGGGGGGGCAGAGTCGTGATGGGAGGCAGAGCCCCACCCTGTGGGGCTGAAAATTAGAGGGAACCTCTTATCTATAGATATCTTTATTCTAAATACTGGATGTCATGGGTGGGGGAAATTGGGGCTGTGTGATCTCAGTGCGCCGGTTGTGAGCTTCCTGCATCACTTGCCTAGCTATTCTCAGAAGAAAGACCTTGGACAAGATGGATATTGGTCCCATCCAGCATGCTTTGGTTTGTTTTACTTAAAAAAAACCCTCAGCGACAGCAGGACAACTTTAAAGTTAGTCCTTTTAAAAGCAAGCTTGCTCTGTAAAACCCTTGGGTCCCCTATCCCACCCTGCAGCTCTGCTCTTTTTAGGATTTGCCTTTTGTCATCTCGCATTAAATTTCAGGGATGCCAAACAACACGCAGAAGATGTGGAAGCTGATTGAGAAAGACAGTAAGGATTAAAGCAAGAGAGTAGGCAGCCTCTTCCTATCTGGCGGGGCCCTGCCATCCGCTTGGCAGGCCAGGCTGCCGGATCTCCCATCGAGGCAGATCACAACCCTTCTCCTCCTCATGCAATGTTCTCAAAGAAGTGCTAGGAGCCACAGAGAGACCACGGATCCTGGCTGCTGAAACACATGAGCTGTTCCTCGGCACTCGGGGGACAGATCTTGCCAAGGCACTCCTTTGATGATTCTTAGCTCAGTAAGGAAAGAGAAGGATAAGGCAAGGAATGGAAAGGAAGACAGACAATCTCTTTTCTGAGCACACCAGAAAAAAGACAGCAATAGCAGGAAGGAAGGAAGAATTAACGAAAGAATTCAAGAAAGAATTCAAGAATTAAAGATATTCTTATTTCTAAAAATTCTAATTTTGAAAAGGCCCCTTACCTTAAAAATCTTTAGAGCCTTAATTTTTCCAGTGTGCCTCACATGGGGGCCTCTGCATAAGTCAATCAGCGGACCACATCTATTTCAAGATATAATTTGGATACAAATAGAGTTAAATTTGCTGTGCCCTTAGAGCACAATTTACTTCTAAATTCCCTTTCAAAACTAAAAACTCTATTTGTTTCACATGCATCGTCTCCCTCACTGTAAAACAGCACAGCTGTTATTTTCAGAATGTGAGACAAGTTACAAATGTTTTTTACCTGTACACTGTTGTTGTTGGAGTGTCAACTTTTTCGTTCAGGATTCGGCATTTAAATTTGTTGTACTGGGCAGAAGGGGGCAAACAGGGAGAGAGGGGAGGAAACGAATGAGAGAATTTAAATCGTTTTGAAGGTATGTAAGCCACAGAAGACTAGGTCTGGAAAGGACTGCAGGGGTCATGAAGTCCAGCCCTCTGTCGTTGAAAATGCTTCTACCACAACAGACCACACGGACAGTCTCTCTGTGCCTTCTTTGCTAGGCAGCAAATATGCAGCATCTCCAGTGATGGTCTTTTGCTGGCCGATATGTCGGGTAGTTTTAACTGGGGTGCCAGAGATTGAATTTTGATCATTCTGCGTGCAAAGTAAATATTCTGCCACTGAACTCGAGTCCCTCCTCAGTTATCTCCACTGGACGTAATTCATTCAGACATCGCCTGGGGATCCTGACATCCCTTCCAGCAAAATGGCATATGTTAACAAAACATGCAGGGGAGAGGAGACAAGAGATAAGCTAGGTGGGCTGTGTTTTAGTTATATCAAGCACGGCATCTTTCAAGAAGCACTGTGATCTGTAAGATCACAGAGATCAGCGTGACTGCTGGCTAAAGCCATCTCAGGTTCTCCATCCAAACACAAGGAATAAAAGTTGCTACTCCTGAGGGAAGGCAGTAAAAACAATCTTGAGAAGAGCTTGCAAACATGACATTTTTGGACTACAGCTCCCAGAATCCCTCTATCAGCATAGACATTGGCCATGTGAGCTTGCAGTCCACCAGGCAGGGAAAGGAAATGGGCAGCTGAGCTGCCACCACCTTGAACTTCCCTGATGGGGAGAAAGAAGGCATATGAATAAAATAAAACCCAAATAAAATACAAGGTGCCCTTCCCATTCCACTCAGAACGAGACATTGGCCATGTGAGCTTGCAGAACCACCAGGCAGGGAAAGGAAACGGGCAGCTGAGCTGCCACCACGTTGAACCTCCCTGATGGGGAGAAAGAAGGAATATGAATAAAATAAAACCCAAATAAAAGACAAGGTGCCCTTCCCATTCCACTCAGAACTCCTGACCCACAAGAAAGCCTAACCATGGCACCAGAATGGAGGGGAGGTGAAATGTTCAATATTGTATGACTGTGCAGTCGTCCCTCTTATCTCCTCGGCCTATGTTACCCCATCTCTCTCTTTCCCCTCATCCCCTGTGCCATCCCGTCCCATAATGCCTGCACAGTGTCAGCCAAGAGTCCCAGGTTCTCAGCCCCATCTCAAAAGATGTGCTCCCCTATCGGGCAGGACAGGGAAAAAAACAGCACTGAAATCCGCTCTCTGTCTCCCTAATTTCAGAGCCCTGTGTCACAGAATGTTGCCCAAGGCTTTGATTTGTAGGCTCTGGAGCATTGCATTTCCATACCACAAAAACTGACCACACAGAATATGATACCTTTGATGACAACGTTCAGAACTATGTTTGCACTGGGCAGTTTCCAGCATTCACAAACACACGAGACTCACTTTAAACATGTCCAGCAGGATCTCCTTGTGGATTTCGAGTCTTTCAAAAGGCTGTCTCTCCTTGATGATGTTTTTACATATGTTCTCCAGGGCTGGGAATTCTGCACTAGAGACACATCTAGACAAAAGGAGAGCAAATAATAAAATACACCAGTGCATGTACACAGCGGAATGAAGAAGCTAAGCTCCAGTAAAAACAGGGTATTCTATGCAATGAATAGACACTCCAACTTCATCCTGAACTGATATACTGTATTCCAGATTTTTATCACAGATTCTGTTGAACGTCTAGACCCTAGAAAGCAGTATTATAAGCAATTTCTAAAACTGTCCAAATACACAGCCTTTGCTTCTACTACTTAACTTTTTTAAACACGACAGGACAACTGTATTTTGAACAGAGTTTCAACAAAATCTTGTGCTCTTGCCAACTTTGGGATACAAAAAAAAAATCTGTAATCAAACACCCTTTCACTAAGAGCAGCCACAACATGCCTTTACATTTCCACTAGGAGAACAGAAGCACCTTGAGGTCAGTTACAAAATGGCGTCATCATCGTCATCATCATCATCAACTACTACTACTATTATTATTATCACTAATAACAATAACAACACAACACAACACCAACACCATAATAATAATAATAATAATAATAATAATAATAATAATAATAATAATAATAATAATAATATCATCATCACTACTAGTATTACTAGAAGCTGTGCATTATCATCAGCCTTATCATCAAACTTAATCTGCCAATTCTAAAATGTTAACACTTATGGGCAAAGTTGCACCTGTTTTCAATGTACATGTCGTAATAAAAACCGTTCTCAATGGGAGGTCCATAGCATAAGCATCCTCCGTAATAATTCTCCATAGCTTCTCCAAGGATGTGAGCACTAGAATGCCAATAAACCTACGTTAAAAGAGAAAAGGGAAATAAAAGATGACAACACAGTACAATTCTCAATTAGACTCCATCCCTCACAGTTAGAACAGAGCTTGGTCAAAGCAAACTTGTATGCACTTCCGTTAAAACGCACATACGCCACATGGCTCATAACATCTGGCTTAATTGAAAGACTTTCTTATTCCTTGCTGTGCCTTTGGCCTTCTCACCTTCGTGAAGTATTGCAAAACCTGAAAGCTTGCTCATTCTTCTGTGGCACATGAGATGGTCCCCATGAAACTGTTAGGAAATTCTGAGCACCACAAAGGCGCTGCCAACTTATACACACTCAAGCTTTGATGAGACGTGGCTGGCTCACATCCCGGCCCATCAGTCGCATCCAACATGATCTGAAGCTGGATCAGGATCTGCTTCCTTCAACCGACACACCCACCCAGTTCCCGGGTCCGCAAAACACAGAATTGTGGAAGCAGACGTGCAATCCGTACGGGCTGCTGCACTCGGATCGCTTGGTGGGTCAGGAACTTGATTTTGAAATTATTTTACAAAGGGAAAGACAGAGTAAATGGTACCTACAGCCTGAGCCTCTTCATCCTCAAACGTGAGCAGCTCCAGGGTACAGTCTCCTTCCATGGGCCGGTCTAAATCCCACAATTCCCCGTTCACTTTGGCAATGACGGCATTGTCAGCAAGTCCTCGGCTACGGATCATAAAGGGAAGCTAAACATTTTTCTGGCATACGTCAGAAAATCAGACCTTTACAAAGGGAACAGAGTCCTGTGGCTTACTTAAGATTTGCCAGGTTTATCTGGCACAAGCTTAGGGAAAGAACAAAAGTGGGCTATGTAAGCTTATGACAAATAAAACTTGTTAATCTTAAACAGGCCACGATGGTACAGGTAGAGATTGCCCACCAGGATGTCCTAAGACGGAGGACACGCTACATTTTCTAACAAAATGCCCTCTATATACAGATTGGAGGGATCTGTATCTTAAATAAATCCTTAACAACCGGGATCAAGAACAACTCCCCTTTATGTAGAGTTTTATTCCTGCTAGCTCGCACACTTTCTCTTCATGTTAATCTTGCAACTTGCAACTTGTCTGAGAATGCTTAGTTTGTTATTTTATCCTTTTCCGGTTGTTTATACGTATGTATTAAATGCCAAATACTATTTTTAAAGAGTAGTTTAATTTCTGTAGATACATATACCCTGATTGTCTATGAAGCAATAAAGTGTACAGTATTTGGAAGTTGCAAGAATGTTTGTTGTTTTTCCTGCAAAAGGCTAACACAGACACCTCCTTGAAAAACATTTTAAAAAACCCTTGAGGCATTGTCCTTTAAAGATCTAAATTTTAAATCCTATGTTAGAAGGAACACAGAATTGGGGGGGGGAGCCCTGGAGAGCCCCCTAATTTTAAAAATTAAATACAGGCATACATGCAATTTGCTTCACAAATAGCTGTGTCAATATCACCAGCATTTTTTTGTATTTCATTTCTAACCTGAGCACCTTACATTTTCTCCTAATGACTGGGCTGGTCAGTTTCAATTCAGAAATCTAAAACACAGAGATTGATTTCAAGTCAGCCAGCCAGCTCCATTGTTACCAGTCTGCAATTTGTATCTTTTGGTTTTGTTTTGTTTTGCCTGGTGTGTTAAGAAACATTTGACCAAACTCTGGGAGGCGGTGGAAGACAGGAAGGCCTGGCATGCTCTGGTCCATGGGGTCACGAAGAGTTGGACATGACTTAATGACTAAACAAGAATTAAGAAACCCTTTCTGGACGAAAAATGTAGGTGTTCAGGTTAGAGACTAAATACAAACAATGCAGCTTTGGATGGTAATAATGAAACAGCTTTGTGTGAAACGTATAGTAGATTTGCATGTATTTTAAGTTTTAAAACCTGTGTTCTCCAGGGCTTCCATAAAGTCTCTCTCTCTCTCTCTGCTATTATAGGATTAAAAATTGAAATCTTCAAAGAAACTTATTATGAATGGCATTTATTTGACCTTTAAAATTACCTGATTCCTAAAGCTATCTGATACGGAGTTGACTTCCAGGATTCTCCTTCTACCTTCTTCCCGTCAGCAAGAGTGATTTTGATTGGCCTGCTTTGAGTAGATGCTCTGGAAGCAAGGAGAGCATCATGGTCTTCCTTCAGCGCTTCGTAGAGCTTCATCCTGTCTTTGACGAAGCCTGGCTCCTGCGGTGGCTGCAAAGACGACAGAGGGGCAACATCACATCAGTCCACCCAAGCAAGACCACGACCCATCTGGGTCCCAAGAGCCAATCCCGTGGCAAAGGGGTCCTAAGAGCATGACCGTACTCATTCACGTCAGGGATTGCCACTTGACCAATCTGTTGCACGTCTGCCCTTTTTTAAAACGGTTTTTTATCCTGACTACTGCTTCTCCTGATGACAGTATTGTTTAATCTGCTTGCTAGCTACTTTCAATGTTGCACTTTAGATAAGATAAACATGCAACAAGTGAATACTGTGTTTCTGTGAAAATAAGACAGGGTCTTATATTAATTTTTGCTCCAAAAACACATTAGGGCTTATTTTCAGGGGATTGAGAAACCAAACTGGGGGCCCTCCCTCTTGTCTGGCAAAGATCTTCCTTTTCAGGGAGGCTTTTAAGTCATCCATGCCTCAGGAATGCTCTATCAATACAAGCAATAGCAAGGGCTTAGAGAAGTTTTTTCTTCTGATGACAGCCCCCAGGAGCCACTGGCTATTTTTACTGGAAGATTAACAAGAAACAATGGACCCTCTCAGTAGCTGCTCCCAGGCTGGGGGGGGGGGGCCCTCTTTTCCCCAGCAAAGATCTTCCTTTTCAGTCAGGCTTTTAAGCAATCTGTGTCTCAGGAATGCTCTATCAATGTCTGATCAATATAAGCAATAGCAAGGGCTTAGAGAAGTTATTTTTTTTCTGATGACAGCCCCCAGGAGCCACTGGCTATTTTTACTGGAAGATATTAAGAGTTTTAACCCAAAAGGGGATATTACTGCCACCATACAATGCAACGGAGATCAAGGTACCCCTTGGGCACTTCAGGAAGACCGCTTACCTCGTTTTTACCCCCATCAGCCGCTTGTGTTTCCTTCTTCTTCTCCTTTTTATGTTTAGCCTGGCGAGCATCAAGGTTTTCATGGGGCACCTCCTAAGCGCAGGAAGAACAGAAATACATTCCATGGATAAAATACGCAAAACAAAGATAGCCGGTATTAGCCCAGGAGGCCAAAACCAAGTTGAAACCCACAGGGAGTCAAAATCTCCATTAGCTCCAAGTATAATTCAACAAAAGGGTGCAAGCTTTCAAGGTCTCCATATATATATCTTCATTGGGTGGCCTTTTTGAAACCTCAGAAGGCAAAAAAAAAGGGAAGTCCCAAAACTTGGGTCTATAATTAGAGCATCTCAGTCTTTAATACCTCTTTATTAGGAAGTAACCTGATCGCCTTTCCAAAGCATTTAATCTCAAAGGGACACCTGTAACCCTTCATCCTCTATATTTATTTTATTTAAAATATATCTATTCTGCCTTTCTCCTTTAAAAGGGACCCAAGGCGGGTCACATCATTAAAAGACCATATTTGAAAGCTAAAAACAGAAAGGATACAAATATTTTAAAAGAATCCAACGAAGACCACACTAAAAATTGGTAAACAAAATCAATACCTGCTACTCTAATTGCAGAGGTTTTAAATGTTAAGAAAAAAAAGAAATGAAAAGTATATACACATACATTGATATAAATCAGCACACAATTGCATGGGGGTCAAATCTAAATAAATATACATAATGGCAAATAAATGCACATCCTAGGATTGAAGTGAATAAAAGTAAATATTGTAGACACGAGAGTGAGAGAGAAAGAGAAAAGGAGAGATGGAAACCTGGATGGTCCTTCCTTGGCTATAAAGCAAAGTCCACCAGTAAAATGAGGGTTTAATCTGTTTTAATAATGCTTTGAGAATGCTCTTAGTTAGAGATTTTAATATAATGTATATTTAATTCCTTTTTAAAAAATATTTGAATTATTTATTATTTCTCTCTCTCTCTCTCTTGAATGATAAAAGCTGCCTTGGTTCCTTTTTTTTAATTTTAAGGAGGAAAGCGGGTTACAATCAATCACTAAATTTAAAAAAATTAAAATAAAGAAAGTAAAATAAAATAAAGTAAAAGGCATGAGTGGAGGAATGAACAAATTAAAATAACTTAAAATAAATCAATGTACTGTATATAAAACTAAAATAAATGAACAAAGTAAAATAACATAAACGAATGGAAGAATGAATTAAAGTAAATCAACCAATACATGAAAATAATGGTTGTTGTGGGTTTTTCGGGCTCTTTGGCCGTGTTCTGAAGGTTGTTCTTCCTAATGTTTCGCCAGTCTCTGTGGCCGGCATCTTCATGAAAATAACATTGAATGAATGAATGAATGAATGAATGAATGAATGAATGAATGAAAATAAATCAATCAATAAAACTGAACTGGTGATTAAGCATCCTTCAGTCTGGAGAGACTATGGTAAGTATCTGAAGTGAACTGAAATAAAACAAATAAACATCAAAACAGTAAGAATCAACTGAAGTGAAATAAAACAATCAATAAAACAATAAAAAATAAAATAATGAAACAATAATAAAAACAATGAATGGATAAATAACATGAAACAATCAATAAAACTGAACTGGTGATTAAGCATCCTTCAGTCTGGAGAGACTATGGTAAGTATCTGAAGTGAACTGAAATAAAACAAATAAACATCAAAACAGTAAGAATCAACTGAAGTGAAATAAAACAATCAATAAAACAATAAAAAATAAAATAATGAAACAATAATAAAAACAATGAATGGATAAATAACATGAAAATAAAATAATAAAACCATTAAAAAATAAAATGAAAATAAAACCATAAATAAATAAAACAATAAATAAAATTTTAAAAAAATTGCAAAACACCCCTCCTGGTCTAATAATGTACAGTATATATCCTTTCTTCGGGGCCCATCCCGGGCAGGCAGGCGTCC